GTAACCTGGTTGTCCCTTCTGAGTGGTGATTTCTAACTTTCTCTCCCACTGTCTCTCTCTGGTGATCGCACATGTCCTATGGCAAACAAACAAACAAACCTTCAAAAAATTATAATTGTGTATATATGCATATATATAATTATAAAATGGGTGGAAGCATAGTGTTACAAAAGGGGAAACATAATCTTAGCATAATCTGCCACTTTGTGTGTATGTTTTCACATGGATCCTAATTATTTCATAGTGCTACCAGTTTAAGATGAGTATTTAACCCACCAAAATGCAGTAATAGGTATTTATTAGAGGGGTAAGGTAATCTTAAAAATTGGTCTCTATATAAAAATCATTAGAACAGTAAGTTTATCTTCAAATAGTATTGCTAGCAGTAAACATTCAAATAGTCTTGGGTATTCTTTCCTGAAACTTATACCCTATTGCAGAAACAGTTGACCATTCTTTGCAGATTACTGTCGTTGCTAGAAAAGTCTAAATATTTCTGCTGAGAAAACTGTAAAAATCCAAGTCCGTGAGCAATTTTTGATACATTCCTAACTCAACATTTTTACAAAAAAAGGTCTCGTGATAAATGGACACTATTCATGTTTTTAGCTTTGATTTCTCTTTCTTAGTTAAGGAAATTTAATTAAAGGTTGTTTTTATCACATCACCTACCTAGTGTGGTTTACTGTTAAAGCATAATATCTCCTGCCTCTATATGATGTGAAGAAAAATGAAAAGACTTTTCCTGTTTGATTTAATTGTAAGAGACATCATTTTAATAATGTGACTAGGAGGGGCGAGCCAGTGAAATAGTGGTTGGGGTGGTTTGATCCCACATGGCTGACTCTATGGTCTGAGCTTTGGACTGACAGCTTGAAGAACATCCTGGGCGCATGTGTGTGCATGGCCAGAATCCAAGGAGGAAAAGGAAAGAGAAGGAATTGCAGCATGGCCCTCATCCCCACTGCAGTGGAGATGATTTCTCACCTCCCCCTTTCTCTCTCTGTTTCTCTACAGTGAATGTAAATGCTGTATAATAAACAGAAAAAAAAAGTGACTATGAGGTCACCAAACATGAGCAAAGTCCTCCTTTAATAAGCAATTGTTTCATTGGTCATGTTAAAAATAAGCAAGCTGACTATAAAAAATTTGCCATAAAATTATTTTCTAAATACTTTCTATATTCATTTACTTAATTGTTCAAATACCTTTCTGTTCTTTCAAAGTAAGCTGTCTGGCAAGATCCATAAATATATTTAAGCCACTTATATAGGTCAGCTAATATGGGTTATGCTTTTTTAAGCACCATCTGACTAAGCACATTCTGTATTTTGCTAACAAAGTTACAGTACATAATATTATTTTAATCAACCGCAAAGAACAATAAGAGATCTGACTGTTGGGCTGATAATCGTCTTATCACACCCTGTGAAACCTAGCTCTAATATTGGACGGCGCCTCCATTACTGGGCAGCCCATTCTAAAAAAGGCCAACAATGGAGAGAGAATGAAGTGGAGTGTGCAGTACCTCCGTATCTACATAAAAGAGATTAGAGGCGACAGCGTTCCATTTTACAGCTCAATCATATTGTGTTAGCATGCGCTTATCCGAGCGCGGACGAAATTGAAAGAGAAATAAAAAAGAGTCAGGCAGATAGGAACCAGAAAAGCGAGGCATGAGCAATTTCCAAGGATATAAAAGGATGCTAATGGCGGGGCCCTGTCATTCTTAAAAAGGGCTATTAGGGCACCATCATCTGTTCTTGTGCCCTTATGCTCCTCCAACTAAAGTCAAGCATTTTCTAAAGCCCTTGTGATCTTTTTTCTCCCACAGATAAAGTATGGTCATGTTTCATAACAACACACTTTCCCATTTATATGATGTATTAATGTAAGCCAACTAATTCTATTTACTGATAAAAAAAAAAAACACTCCATATGTATTTTTCTTCAATATTTTCTTTTGTTGAATTCTTTCTTTTTTGACGTGGCCAAAGCAAGAGTACCAAAGTGCATTTGCAGCAGTGCAGGAGTCTACTGATCCTATCTTAGATGCTAAACTTAATTTAAAACGTGTGTGTGGTCGGACAAACTGAGGACAATGTACAGATAACAAAAGGCCTGCATTTGAGTGTGTTTCACCAAAAGATGTCACTTTAATTTTAACAGAAGCTTACAAAAACAGAGTTTGGGAGTTAAGGGTAGGACAGATGAAATTTCAGCTTGGATTTGACTTGGCTTTTGACTCTTACGCCAGCTCTCAGGATTGGTTCGTGTTTATCAAGAATGTAAGTTCGCTTTTATGGAAGCGTGAATGTGACTTTGGTCTCTGTGTTGTCTGCCTCTACCTCCGGACCCCTCCACCCTCCTTGAACCTAAGAAGAGTCTTTGATATGGAATCTCCCTCTCCTTCTACCTCAAAATGCTCTATGGCATACAGATTGTTAAAAAAAAAAGAAAAAAATTAAAAAGAATTCCAGTTAATTCCTGTTTTGCTAACCTCTTTCTGTAAAACCCAGATACTCCTTGCAATCATTTCAAACCCCCTTGGGGTATCACAAACATCAGAGCTGTGAATCATCACTCCACAGTGACCTCCTCTGGCATTTGCTATGGCAAGAGAATAACTTCAGTCTTCACCAAGTCTAAGCCTCTGCTTAAGACTGAACACATAATCGGCGAGCAATTGTTTCCACCACTGGAAATGGTGTTACTCATAGTTATTTAAAGTTACCATCCTTACAAAAGTCACCAGAGCCCCTTTACCGCGACAAGTTCCTTTGTAAGCTGACATTTCGACTTAGATGTACTGCTGGACCTACAAATTTATCACTGACTTTCCCAACCAGAGGGCTTGAAAGGAGTTATTGACACTTAATGGCCTTTATGATGATAGGTCTGTGTGATATCAAAATATTTGCTTAACAAACCCCTTAATTCAGGGAGAAGGTAAACAGCATTCTCTGAAACAGTGGGTGGTTTGGAAAAATAGTGACACCGCCTTTTGCGTTGTTGTTATTCACAACACTAACATCATTACTATTTTCAAATAGTTCTTTCAAATGCAGTCAGTCCCCTGGGAGACTGAAATATCCTGATTCTACTACTGGAGGCAATACTGAATATATGTTTTGAAGGCACTGGATGCATTTATGAACTTGTGCAAGTGTTTTCTCCTCTCTGCCACAAACCTCACTATCTTTGAATTGAAGATAATAATACTCAATTCCTCTGTGAGAATAATGGTTCTCCACTCAGGGAGAAAGAGGTAGGCTGGTGTGATTTTTGCCTCCCTGAAGGTATCTGACAATGTCTGAAGAGATTTTTGTTTGTCATAACTCGGGGGTATATTGAATGTTGGCAAACATCCTGTCATGAATAGAACAATTCCCCCAAATAGAGGATTATCTAGTCCCCAGTATTAACATTGCAAAGGCTGTGAAACCCTCCATTAAAATAATATTTTTAATGTCTGTATGTATATACTCCTATATGTATAATAATTGATCTATTAACATAAATGATATGTGTCAATTGTTTAAAAAAAGCACCTGTGAACACTTCAACAAATGTTTGGTCTCTTTCCGCTCTACAGCCCTTTGACAAAACTTTCCTTCAAATACAATACTACTTTCTTTCAAATAACTTTTCCTGTACTGTACTGTAGAAGCAAATTCTTGTCGTTTCTACTGCCATAATTACAGATGTCTTAACGTCTTTTAGAGTATCTTTTTTTCTTGTAAGAGTCATATAGATGGCATTACAATCTAAATGCAGTATCAGCAATCCATACTATCAAATACTCATCCTTCTTTGAAAGGTAGTAATCCTTCCATAGGTATCTTCTAAAGAATACACTTGGGCTCACCTATTTAACTAGTTTTGACTTAATTTGGGGTGCTTTATTAGCAAACAGTGTAAGACAAAGTAGCTAGTATAATACAGAGTGATGTTTAAATTAGTTTACAATTTGCTTGGCCTCATCTAGAACTGCACCGAACAAAGCCATTCAGAAATGTCAGCTGTGTTCCTAACCACTGTAACAAATTGTCGTCTGAACGCTGCACACCTAATGACTTCAAATTAGCTTCAGTGCGATATCGCCTGACAGTTCGTTACGACTGTTAGCAACATAGCTGGCGTATCATGACCAATAAATTGGTTTCAGTGTGGGCTGGGAAAGGGACTTCCATCAATTTGATTAAAGAAATTACTGTAGCATTCAAAGCATAAAGACAAACTAGTTTAAGGAGACAGAAATAAGTTAACTGTACCAGAAAAACATTGCTCATCATTCAAAAACTTGTTATAAAGTATTTGAAGATCAAAGTCCAAACAAATAAAAAATAATTCAAGTAGAATACTAAAATTCGTAAACTTCATGACTGGGCATATGCTTATTAATATTATAGGATGAATCAGAGAAGAAAAGTTATGAAATATTGTTAAAGGTGAACTTTAAAGTATCATATCAAAATTTTACCACGTCACTGTAACATTTGTTTTTATAACTTACCTATGAATTCATATATCTAATTATAAACCAAAGTAAAGCCTGTGAATGTAAATAGCAACTCAGTGTAACCAGCCACCATGAAGAACAAATGAGTATTCTTAGGAGGAATGAAAGTACACTAGACTACTGCTAATGAAAACATGCTTTAACATAAAAACAAAAAATAGAAGTATCTCCTTAAGAAAAAGCTCAGAATTTTAAAAGGAATAGAGAAATATTTTTAAAAGTTATGCTCTCTTCATCTTATACTGGCAATAGTTCCTTCACAAATGAAATCGTTAATAAGAGCTTGAGGTGGAACAAATATAGAAAAGGTTTATGATTCTAGTCGAATCAGCCAAACTCTGAATTAAACTTGATAAAAACAAAGATAAAGGTTAAAAAAATGTAATGAGAAAATTCTGGATTTGCCCAAATCTACACCTATAACCTAAGGCATTAATTGCAACCATTTTTCATTTCTTTTTCTTTTCAGAGGATGTACCTGGAATATGCTTCGCCCATCCAATGATAACCACCAACTCTCGGTCGGCTAAGTCACACAGTGTAGTGAGGGCTTTGATGTCACTGTCGGGGACAGTCGGGTCAGGCATGGCATAGATCTTCTCCGGCTCAGCCACCAACAAATGTGAGACAATCTTGTTATCTGCAGGATCAGACCAGAGCACTACAAGTTTACTAGTCGTATCATCCCTCCTTCTCAAACCCCAAAGTACTCCGTCTTTTAAAAAATAATTCAAAAGCCCTACAATAAATCCCAACAATTCCATTTCTGGTTCAATACTTTATGCATACTAGTGTTCAGGACAACTCATAGCAAGAAAGAAGGCACTGCGGTTGACACTGAATGCTCTTCTTTCTTCTGTGCTCTACCTGTGTTTGCTGGGAGGAAACTTCTGTTCTGCAGTGAAAAATTTTTGTAACAGACACAAGAAGTTGGATGCTTTCTGGGTTTGCTCTTTGATTCTTACATGGGATTTGGGGAAGCAGCTTAAATAGTATTCAACAGCTTTAAAATAAAAATCCACAGTAAACCACTGAACTATAGACTATACCACAGGATGCACAGATCTACTAATGCCCATAGTCATAATGGTCAAGAAACTCATTAATTGTTTTAATTCCTTTAAAGAAGAGCAAAGGTCACCCTTCTGCCTGGGTGAATTACTGACTGTATAACTCTATCTCCGTGGGATGCATTAAATAGGAATTTCTTTTCTTTCTCCCCCTTCCCACACACCCAGTCAACCTTCCAAATATAGCTAATATCAGTTTCCACAAAAATACTCCTACTTAAATGTCACAGTATTTTCTCTCCTGAGTGTCTAGTTCTTTAATCCTCTATTTTCATCTGTTGTCCTCAGTTCATTCTCTGGTTCAGATTTATCTGTCTGAAATTTGTGATATATGTTTTAAAAATCCTTCATAAAATAAACACTAGAGACAAATGGAAAGCATCACATCAAATGTGTTTTATTGCCCAGGGGCATGTGAGAGTTTATGGAAGGGGTTGTAAAGCCTTACTAACCAAATGATTTTTCTTGTTGGCCCTATTTTCAATTTCTATATGTAGCTTTAGATTTTATACTTTCTCCTAAATGAGGAACTACAAATGGATAAGAATAAACCCACATATTTAAATGTTCTATATATTACCAGTCTAGAAAACCAGGGCATTAAACGGAATCTGTCTGAACAAAGCCCCAGTTGACACTGTGTTTACTATACCATTTGCTTTTCATGATAAGTTTTTATTTTTTATCCCAAAATGAAGAGTTCACACAACCTAGAATTAAATACAGCATTCTGTTAGTCTCCTCTCTGAAATAACAAAGAGAGCTATCCAAGCTATAATTAGCACTTTATGGACATAATTTTTTAAAAAAATATTAATATGGCTGCCATCTGAATTATATTTATTTCAAATAGTCAACAGATAACCAGTTACTGGCAGTAATATTCCTTGACCATCAAATTAAACATGCAGATTTGGGAGAGAATATTCCCAACTACCACATTTTCTGAGAAAAAACTAAAAATTAGATATTCTTTTTTTAATTTGCCAGATCTGCAAAGAATGACATTTGTTTCTTGTATGAGTGTGCTACCGAAACAACACCCTGTATTTTTAGTTACGCTTGGAAAAGTTTCAACTTTCATTGCTCTGACAATGCAACAAAATCTGTCAGCAACCACTAAGATTCCCAGGGTTAGAAGAAAATGCAATAATAAACGGCACAAAAATATAACCAAATAAAGTCGTGATTTTAGTTGTGTGTGTGTTTTTTTTTTAAGTACAGGGAAAAATACTACATGTTTTACTCAAGTCAATAGATATTCGAATTAAGGAGTCACAGAAATTTGGTTGAAGCTTAGAAATTCCTATCATTCAGAAAATGGAATAGCCGGCAGCACTGTTTCTAGGTAAATCTTATTTAATGTTTCCCTAATTAGAATCAATAGAACCCAATTTTCATTCTTGGGCTTTTGTAGTACACAATCAGTCAGGGTCCAGAAATCTCCCCAGCCACTTTCTCAGCAAAGCCTCTACACAGTCTCTTGACACTTATCTGACAGGATCTGAAAATTAAGTTTTATAAATGTTTGTTACAAAAACACACTAATTGGATGGACTAAGGAAAATTAACACAGAGGCCTTTAGATAATGAGTAATGATTTATTAGGAGTCCTCTTTATCTCAGACAAATGGAGCTCGCTGAAATTGCTGTAATCTTCTTAAAGGTACTTGACAAGCCACTTCCTAATTTCTCAGGTTTACACAGGAAACCCTAGCTGTTCCTCTAACAGATCAACTTACAAATGGGCTGGCACTCATTTTCCTTTCACTAGAGGAAACTCTCAATGGTTGCAGTCAATGTTTGCATCCAACGCATGAGAAACGGGCAGTCTGCATGTTATTGAATCTAGGGAAACTAAACCTCTAATGAAATTAAGCATTAGTGTTTATTGCATTTTATTGTATTATCAAAAAGTTTTTTATTATAATGTGCAAAATCTGCTTAACGCAGCCCTAGATTGTATTTGCAGAATGCCAAACAGCTTATACAGGCTGAGGGGAAGACGCCAGATTGGACAATTGAAGGTATAATCAACATAATGTTTTTTGGAAAGGCAAAAGGAAACTATGCCATATGTTCACTTAAGCTTTAATTTTATGTAAAACTGGTTGTTTTTCCTTTGACATAGCTAAAATGTCCTTTCATTTACAGTTCAGGGTCTGCTTTATTTATTTAACAGATTCCCATATGTTCCCACGTATGATGCATAGCAGTGACCCCTCCTGGAGAATCTGAATTAGAAGTGGTCATTTTGTTGTTGTTGTTGTTCTGAAGGCATCAAAAATTGCCCACACTTCATTTATACTTGCTGTGGATGCCACTACAGCATCTTCGGTGAGAGCGTTTGTGTCTTCTTAGGCAAAGACAGCTAAATGTGAGAATTGTTTCCACCAAAGCACTTCTCAGTGTCTAGTCTGAACTCTATGCAGAAACATCTTAAATTGCCAGCTCTGTTACACTACAGCTATTAACTGACTTTTCAGAAAATAGGATACAGTTATTGCCTCAATCTACATTCCAGCTCTTTTTAGTTAGTGACAAAGACAATGGGACTTGCACTGTAGCTATGTGCCTGTCATCTTTTCAAATTGCAACTTGGTATCATAAAACCAGGGACTCTTTAAAAACAATTCCTAATGCCTATAAGGGCACCTGAGATGGAACCACCAACCTATGCTTGTTATTAGTACAGCCCATTCTTGTTTTAATCTATTGCAAGCTAGTGTGTTAACCTTCTATAGCTCCAAATTAATGAGGCCCCTAATGTATTTTCATTGGGAGGTTGAGCAGTCAAACTCATTTAATTCGTGAAAACTACAAAAATCACTTTCTTGTGAAATCTCAAGCTAACAGCTCCAATGAACTAATGATCACAGTATGATCTATTTTATGTACCTCTGCAAATAAAGATAACCAGTAAATGTAAAATTCACACTATATAAGCTATGCATTAATATGCTTATGCTTCCACAAAGTGACGAGGTGAAAAAAAGATAGGGGAAAGAAAACCAGACATCTTTAAAAGAGAGAGAGAGAGAAAAGAAATAATTAGCTAAATTGCTGGTGTTCTTCACAATCCTTGGGATTAGAGCCACTGTTCTCCAACAGAGAAGTCTCCTTGGAGTCAGTAAGGGTAGACATGCCAAAGCTGATGTTGATAGAGCCAACTGGGAGGATTTCGTGTTCTGGGAAGCCAGACGTATCTGCTGTACTTACATGGCTTTTTGGCTGGCTGAACCAGTTGAGGATTCAGGTATGGACTGTTCTCCGCATCTATTCTGCGCTTGTACTTCTGCCGACCTCCACGTACTCTGTCAAGACGCACCCCTGTGGGCAAAAACAGTCACTGGCTTACTGTGTTGGTAGCTATCTTTGAGACCAATCAAATACATAGACAGTGTGCCCCAGGAGGCCAACAGTAGAATGATCTAGGGTGCTAGAGGAATATAAAATAAAAACTGCCAGTGGTTAGACCCAAATCTTTCAGTAGTCAACAGACCTGGAAGACATTTTACGCAAGACCATCAAATCACAACATGCACATCAAAGAAAAGGCAGATTTTCAGGTGAATTAATACAAGGAAGCCACTGTTTGGTGCTATAGCAGTTTCTCAAAACAAACAAACAAACAACAACAAAAAAAAACATTGACATGTTGTATCTTCTTGACCAGTCACTCCAGAAAGTTCAATGTGTAGAACCAAGTAGATCAGTAGTCCGAGAGTTATCCAACCGTCCTTCAGTCTACGAGAGCACTAAATATGGACCTGTAGAAACAAATTGGATATGGAGTGCCAACACACTATGGGGGCTGGAGGTGGGGATGGGGCTGCTAAATTACACTCTGTATTGTTTAGTCCTGTGAAATGCAAAAATTGATCCATGCTAAAATGTCACTGTTTTGAAAGAAGAATCTTATTTACATTGTGGCACACATTTGGATTTCCTGTCTGATGCAACAAATTTGAGTGGTGAATTCAGAAAGCTAAGATGTCCAAGGAGGGGCATGTTACTAGAGGAAAACTGGAGGGTAAAGCTAAAAAACGGGCAAAGGTAGACGGCTATGAATACAAGGTTTTCCCAAACAGTAATATGGGTTGGGTTGATTCAGAGAAGTTTTGGTGAAAATGGATGTAAAAGATTGAAGATAAAAACAAAATGGAAAGAAAAAGATTAAAATTAAAAAACAAAGTTTGGGGCCAGCCAGCCACTTGGAAGACTGCATATTAAGTCCCCTACCTGGTGCCTTGAGATACATATGGGGGTGCCATGTGCATGTGCCCAAAATCCCAAAAGGATGATGGAGAAGGAATTGCGTGTGGCCGCTCCTCCTGTCTCTCTTCAGTGAATGCACATGACCTCTAGCAAATTAAAAATAATAATCATTGGGGACAGCAGATGGCATAGCAGTTACATCGCTAGACTCCCATCAGGTTGACTGCAAATAGAGTCCCAGACCCACTGGCTTGAGAATCATGTTGGGCATGTGTGTGTTTGTGCCCAAGATCCTAGGAGGAGAATGGAGGAGAAGGGACTGCGGTGTGGCCAACTCCCGGGGTGGTAATTTCTCACTTTCCCGCTCTGTCTCTCTCTCTTCAGTGAGCACATATGCCCTAAAGCAAAATCTTCTTTAACAATAATAAATTTTTAAAATAATAATTCTCGTCATCATTTATAAGGAAGTGGTGAAGAACTTAAAAATCTAGTTTCCAGTCTGTAATTATAAAGTTTAGGACAAGACCACATAAACCCTTAACAAATAAAGGGGTGATCACTTGGAAGTCAGAGTAAGGAGGGACATTTTATGTACTAAATTGTACCTCAATTGATATAACCATGTAACATTATCCATTATAATTATAATAAATTCTACTACATAGTTCATTTTATGTATTTTGCATTTCTCAGACTGTTTAGAAAATAATTTGGTTTAAAGGCATCATTGGTATTATTATTTTACTGAAAGGTCTCAAGGACAGTTAATATGTAAATGGGTTCTGTTAAACTCTTGTGAGGAAGATATATAGTTTATGCAATGCTTTGTAAGCCAGTTTAACTGAAGACATTATTTTGTGAAATACTAGTTCACTTGTGAGCTGCGAGTTATCAGGAACAGGGAATGAGTAATATTTATGTGTGATTTTGTGAGGTATATTTATTTAAATGTTAAGGATTATTAGTGATTTGTGAGATAACAGAATTATTTTTTGTTACCTTAACAATACTACTTTAAGAGTTGATTACCTTTTAGTGAAACATACAGATGCTTGGTTCTAGATAAAGATGATCATGCTGAACCATCAGAATATAAGTTAAAAGAATCAGGAGACAAGTTCAAGAGCAATGAATTGGGTTAGACAAACTGAAGCCAGCAGATGGTATAATGGTTACATCACTGGACTCCCACATGGCCGACTGTGGTTTGAGCTTCAGACTCAGTAGCTTGAAATTCATGCAGGGTGGGGACCAGCAGTTAGCGTAATGGCTATGTCTCTGGACTCCCACATAGTCGACCGCGGTTTGCATCCCAGACCCAGTGGCTTAAAATTCACACTGGGCGTGTGTTCCCAAGATGCCGAGAGGAGAATGGAGGAGAAAGGATTGTGGTGTGGCCATCCCCCCTGGGGGGTGATTTCTCGCTTTCTGTCTCTCTGTCTGGCGAGTGCACGCGCTCTGTAGCAAAAACCTCTCCCCCCTCCCCCCCCAAAAAAAGAATTATGAAATTCATGCTGGGCATGTGTGTGTATGTGCCCAAAATCCTGAGAGGAGAATAGAAGAGAAGGGAATGTAGCACAGCCATCTTTCCTGGGGGGGTGATTTCTCACTCCCTTTCGGTCTCTGTCTCTCCAGCAAACACACACGCCCTATAGCAAAAATCTCTTTCTCTCTTAAAAAAAAAAAAAAGACAAATTAAAACACTAGAAAGTTGGGTACAGCTTGCTTACTTCCCTCCTTTCTTCCTTCTTTCCTTCCTTCCTTCCATGAGTTAGAGAAAGGTGTGGATGGAGGACAGGCATCCCAAACAAGGTCTTCAGAATACAATCCACCTGCTTCATCCAGCTCTGGATTATGGGCACAAATGTTCCTGGCACATTCCGGAAGGTCTCCACACATGAATCCAGAACCTTCCCATGTGGGTCAGCCTCACAGAACACTGCACTACCACTGCACCACTCTCTGGTCCCCTGGGTATAGTTTTTTTTTTTTTTTTTTTTTGGAGATTTTTACCGTTGGGGACCGGTCCCCGC